TATTCCATTTTTCATCTTCTTCATCAGATCTGAATTCGAATCTGCGAATTCTTCCTTAAACCCTAGCACAAACCTTATCGCTGCCATTCCGGTAGTTTTTTTTTCCGATTAAACGATGACGCTTCACGCCGCGGTAATCCAGAAGCTACTGAACACCGGAGCACATCTCGGCCGTCGCGCCGCCGAGCATCATTTTAAGCAATACGCTTACGGGACTCGTAATGGAATGACAATCATCGACGCCGATAAAACCCTAATCTGTCTCCGTAGCGCCGCTCATTTCGTCGCTAACTTAGCTCACATGAGAGGTAACATCTTCTTCGTCAACACGAATCCACTCTTCGACGAAATCATCGAGCTCACTTCTCGTCGGATCCAAGGTGATGCTTATAATCATAACCGTGCGATGAATCTGTGGAAGATGGGTGGGTTTTTGACTAACAGTTACAGTCCTAAGAAGTTTCGATCTAGGCATAAAAAGCTTTGCTTTGGTCCAACTACTATGCCTGATTGTGTTGTTGTGTTTGATACTGAGAGGAAAAGCTCTGTGATACTTGAGGCTTCGAAGCTTCAGATTCCTGTTGTTGCAATTGTGGATCCGACTGTGCCATTGGAGTACTTTGAGAAGATTACTTATCCTGTGCCTGCTCGTGATTCGGTCAAGTTTGTGTATTTGTTCTGTAATGTGATTACTAAGTGCTTTGTGGCGGAACAGATGAAGTTGGGGATTAAAGATGAGAGTAAGGAAGATATGGTGAAGGATTTAGCTGCATGATTTTGGTTATTCTCTACAAAAGTATGGATCTTTTTTATTGGATTTTTATAGTTTGTTTTGGAATAATTGTTCTTGAGAATTGTGGTTTTTCTCAACTTTGGAATTCTGGTTGTTTTTTTTTACATATTTGGATGATTTTTGTTTATCTGACGTTGGAAGATGGTTGGTAGATTGTTCATTTCTTGGAATTCGATAGGTTATTGTAAGAAACAAGTTAGGATTGAATCTAGGAATTTGGCAGCTCACTTGATAGCCTTGGCTTTTTCCCTCTGCTATTCATTGAGTGAAAGTGGTTACTACTCAAGTCTTTGGAATGAACCATCTACTGTTCTGGTTAAGGGATGAGCTGGCTGTTATAAGATTGAATATCTTCAAAGCAATTCAATTTTAGTCTAGAGATACTTTCTCTGTCGTGCTCGTGATTTTTTTGGGAGATCGCTCTGGTCATATCTCTTTTGTATAGTTTGTTGCTAACTTTGGCAAGTGGTTGGATCGGCTTGGTTTCCAATGAAGACGCAAACGCAAGGGAAAGCAGCAATGTAGTCTCCATCTATCATCCTCTGGTACGAAGTAAAATTGCGGGTAAATCTCTTATAACTCTGGAAAACAGTTGACGTTTTAAGATGTTAGTATCGAAAAGGGGGGACGGAGAAGTCTTCGTCGGGTCAAATTTCATCAAAGCCCTCTTCCCATTTCTTAATCCTCTCTTTGTCTTTATTTCTCAAGCTTTTAATCTCAGCAAAGTTCCCTCTCTGCTTCCTCATGTCCCCATAATATACTGGTATTACTGTCTCTCCAAGTTTAGCTGGCTTGAAGCTGCATAGTTCTCGGAGACCACTACGATTCGCAAAATTTTGAACCTTCAATCACCTCGATAACGTTAAGTCTCTGAAAGCTTTGATCCGCATCCGATTCAGGGATATGAAATATCTTAAACCTCTTGCATAGCAACTTCAACAAAAGATTGTAGCCTCTAAGAGCATTAGCATTGGTGATACACTAATAATTATACACTAAATATAAAATTATTAAAAACACACTCTCTTTTCCTTTTACTCAACTTTATATCTTCTCTTTCATCCTTTTACTCAACTTTTATTAATTTTATACTCTCTTTAAATATAAAATTATTAAAAACATTTGATACACTCTCTCTTTCTCTCTTCAAAAGTATCAACTATATCAACTATTTGATACCCTCTCTAAAAAAATATCAACTATCTATTCTCTTTACTCAAATTTTATTAATTTTATATTTCAATACACRCCARTATTTCAARCAAAAACACTCTCTTTCTTCRTTTTACTCAAATTTTAATAATTTTATATTTAATGATACCTACATTGT